ATGCATTGTCGACCCCTACCCCCCCCCCCCCTAACCCCTAACCCCTAACCCCTAACCCCTAACCCCTAACCCCTAACCCCTAACCCCTATCCCCTATCCGCTAACCCCATTACCCACTAACGGACACCTTTAATGATGTTTTATCGAGGATAAATGGGCAAACTTGATTTTTACCCTCGTTCCGAATAATTGACTGGCTGTGTGCATGCCAAAGTGATTTGCTGACATACGTCAACATAGTTGGCACTTTTAATACACTAATAATACTTTCGTAAAGAAAAATATGATTTCGTCCGTGACAAGAACAAAGTTGTTATTCGATTAACAACTATTGAGGCAAATTAGAATACCAAGTTGATTAAACGACTTATCTTATGTCTGTTTGTATTTCATAATGAATTGCAAATTTCATCGATATAATTGGCTGTTAGAATTTTTTGGACGCTACGCGAATTAGTCAACATTTATTTATATTTGATAAGGAAAAGTAGCGATAGCCTTGGCTGATTTCCGTAAACTTTTACAATATGACAAAGTAATACTCGTATTGAACGGAAATGAAATCTCAAGAGCCGAGAATTTTATGATCTGTAAAATGTAAAATGTGGAGCGGGGAAAAGTTATTGTTGTGACAAACGAATGATTAAATTAGCCAGTTTCGTTGTCTTCGTCGTTTAAGACGTTCAATGCATTATGCGGAAAAGAATTTTACGGAAATAACAGAAATTGAGGGAAATTGAGGGAAATAGAGCCCCAAAACAGGCTTGTGTCTTATCGCATTTTAACAATAATTTCCCAGCGGAAATCATAATTCCCTAGAAATTAGTTGATATACTTTTCTTTCTTTAGTTTCCCATCGACCAATTCCCCTCCCACTACCCATTTCAATCTCGACTCGAATAATTATTTCGTATATTTAACAGCCAAGAAATTGCCACAAGACGTCAACCCCCGTGGCGTTTTTGCTTGCAACGAGTTGGACTTGAGGGAAGTTCAAGTTTATGGGTTCGATTATGACTACACGTTGGCATGTTACAAGCCGAGCATGGATTATCTGTTGTACAACTTAGGTCGTGATATGCTTATTAAGAAGTATAAGGTTAGTCGATCGACAGCTCAATTACTCACAACAGTATTAATTGTTTATCGATAAAAGCCGAGAGCATTGTGTACTCGATAAAACGAAAGGTTGGAATTTTGTTGTTAAAACATTTTTCAAGCGTATATACGCGAAGTTTTTAAATACATTAAAATTACTTTCTCTTCCGTATTGAATTAAAAGTGTGATTCTTTGACATTGGAAAATAATTTAATGACGAATTATCGCACTTATCGAGTAAATTGCTCTCTCTCTCTATCTCTATCTCTATCTCTATCTCTATCTCTCTCTCTCTCTCTCTCTATCTCTCTATCTCTCTATCTCTCTCTCTCTCTCTATGTCATTTTTCGAGCGTGAAATTATTGTAAAAATGCTTTATTCTCCAATTTATAGATCGATGATTTATATAAGACAGAGACACTAGACTATTGAAAATTTTTAATGTAACCATTTTGTGATATATAATCCTAGATAATCCTTATATTGGCGCCATTATCGATGTACGCAAACACCTACTGTGCGCTCATTTGCACAAATTAATATTTCGCTTTTTATTTATTGATTTCGTAAATGCGAAAGATAGCGCTCGGATATGAAAGAGAGTAAGTAAGAGAGGAAAGGGCATCGCCTTCGTTTTAAAAATTGTCGTTCAAGTTCAATCCCAGCTCAATCGGTAAAATCCACGTAACAGGCTCGATAACCTCGAAAATAGAAAAAAAAAAAAAAAATCTTAACCGATCGCAATTGAGCGGAGCGACATTCGCGACTCGACAATCCCCCAGCCAACTAAAGCAATGCCTTTGATGAACAGTACCCTGAGAAAATAGCCGACCTCGAGTACCGCGAGGACTTTGCCGTGCGCGGACTCCACTACGACATCGAGAAGGGTCTGCTCCTGAAGCTCGACAGCTTCCTTCAAATCCAGCTCGGCGCCGTCTATCAAGGACTTCATCCTGTGCCAGACGACGAGGTTCTGAGACTTTACAAGAACCGCATCATACCGATTGCCTACGTCGAGACACCGTACAAGCACTCGCACGTGAGTCCTTTATTATGCAAAGCGCCCGAGCTTTGCCAATGCCCATGGTTTCCGTAGATGTTTTTCGCAAAATCTTTCCCTGCGGTCGGTCAAGCAGCATCACCTCGCGATTTCAACTTCTCAACTTGAACATTGATGGTTAATTATGAGAAATGGGGCTTGAATTGAGGTGGGAGGGCTGTGGGGAGTGAGGTTGCCTTTCAAAAATATGAGATTCAGCGCGGTGATGCTTAATGACGGTAATGAGAGCGGCAATATACAGGCGTGTCCACTTGGTTCATTTGTTTGCGAAATTCAATATAAGATGCTCCTTGATGGAATTTTTAAACTTAAATTGGATTCATTCCGATCGAGCCTTTGATAATGAGAGAGATTACAATGTGCGTAAACAATGGCTGGATGAGCCTCTATAAATTTGACATTCGGTTTGACAATTTCACACGGCGTTTCAAGTAGCGAGAATTAAAAAGAAATGAACAAAATTATTGATATAATACTTCATAATGTTATTTTATTATGAGTTTCGGCGAACATTATTAGTAAATTCAGTTTTCTTTCGAATAATTATCTCTACGTACATTTTATTATTTCATTATCTCAAATTATTTTATATTTTATTTTAAATATTAATTATACCTCCCCCTCCCCCCTCCCCCCTCCCCCGTATTTTATGAGCAACTTGATTATTTAATTTCTACTTTTAACTGTGACCTTATTTCTCAATAATAAATTATTTTTGAAGCGATCAAGAAAGTATGTGATATATATATATATATATATATATATATATATATATATATATATATATATATATATATCTCTTTATTTATATATACGTAATATTGCTGATTATTCATATTAACGTAACTTAATCATATTTTTTATGTAGAATAAAATGTCAATTATATGCAATTTATTGCAATAATTCATAGCGATAATAAATGATATATAACTTATATTCTTACAAAAATATCCGCGGAAACTAAGTAACTATCACATTTTTGACATTACTGAAGCATCCGGTTTATTATTTTTATAGAACACCCTATTAATACTTTGTATATCTATTACTCCCAATTTCAGCCAATTTCCTCTTTATGCAATAATAATCGTGAGTGATTTTCCCCCTATTGTATACGTATATCTATGTCCTTCGCGTTCTAATGTTATTATTGCAAATATCAAGCACGATGATAGAATGATTTATAATAATAATGAGAACGACAATGATGATAATTTATTTTAAAATCACATTTCGTGCAAATTTTCAACCATCTTTTTGCATGTCTTGGCTCTCTTCAATGTGTGATCCACCGATTACACCACAATTTGAGATATTAGAAGGTAAGTCGTCGAAAATAAAGGTGAACTTAAAAATTTGTTTTGGGTGTGCAGTTTTCGTGAATGCTTTTTTACAATTTTAATATACTGTGCTCACACATGTCTAGACATTATTTTCATCCATTAGATATGAAATTCTATTTACATAGCTACAATTTTTACAATTGCTTTGTAAAAATTAGAAATTGGATTATAAGCATAACTTATAAGCTTACGCGTGTTACTAAGTTTTTATTACAAATCAAAATTATTGCTTTGCGAACGTTGCATTAAGGCTCCATTAGCATTTTGCCATTTATGTATAATAATGTGGGAAAAAACGAAATCAGGCTCTTGCGATATTTGTAATGATCGTTAGGATTATTCCTTTTCATACGTCAAATATATATCAAAGCTAAAAACGTTTCCGACTAATAAATTTCACTTTCCTGTCTGACATAAAAGCAATATTACGTAATAATAGTATATTACTTAGTTGTGATAGTCTCACTTAATACGCGACAATTTCAATTACGTGAGAACGAATACTTTTTATTATTCGAACTCGAAGAGTCCGACGAGAATGCAAATATTGTTACGCGCGTAAAATACCAAGAAAATAATATAATCGATTGGAAATTCAAGTCTTCCACATTTGACAAACTCGCATAAAATGACATCTCATAATTGGCAAACATATTAAAAATTTAATTTTACAAATTTTTTTTAACAAATTCATGGTTTTCTGATTTTTTTTTTTTTTTTTTTTTTTTTTTTTTTTTTTTTTTGAATTTTTACAATAATTCAATTATGTCTCTTTATCATTAACGAAGTTCGCGAAATTCTCGCATTAAAAAACATTCGAATTACAACAATGAAACGTTGAAAATATTATATGTTCACTAATTAAATCAGTTTACTTTAGCATCATTGACTTCATTCAAGAGTTAAATATCCATTGTACACATTCGACACATTACGAAGGTACTAATTGTCATTCTCCTAAAATGAAAGGACATTTTGAAAACCCATACATTATTGTGCATAAAAATTGGGATTGAATCAAGTGCAATTTTTGGCATAACGTTTTGCATTAATTTTTTAGGATGGTGTGCACCATACAAAAATGGTGCAACTTGCTGATCTATTCTCCGTGCCGGAAATGGCTTTGTTGTGCAACGTCACCGAGTACTTTTTGCAAAATCACATCGACTACCATCCGGAAATTCTATTCAGAGACGTGAAGGTACGAGACAAGAGCGAATAATTTTATCTTCTTGATATTCATGAATCAATACTTAATTAATCATTGATACTTAACTGCACTCCGTCCATTTAGAATTCCGTGCAAAGCTGTCATCCAATAATGCATAAGCGTGTGGTCCAGAACGTGTCAGAATATTTGGAGCAAAATAAGGATCTCGCTAGGTTTTTCAATCGCCTAAAGGACGCTAATAAAAATATGTTTCTCGTCACAAACAGCCCATATCCGTTCGTGTAAGTCGCACAATCTTGAACTTTATTACGATCATTATATAGTAATGCAGGCAGTGAGTGCGCGCAATCTTTAAAACTCATAACTACCAAGTTTTTGTTTTCTAAATTAATAATAATAATGAGAAGAGAGAGATTTTGTAATTGCTATATTCACTACCTGTCCGACTTTTATTGCCCTTAAATCGTGCTCGATAATGTAAAAAAAATATAATAATAATAATAATAATAATAATGATAATGATAATAATAATAATAATAATAATAATAATAATAATAATAGTAATAATAATAATTCATAAATATAACTGTTAGCGGTAAAAGTAATGGATTCTATAAAAAAATTAAAGAAAGAAGGAAAAAATGAAGAAAAAAACCGTTTCCCACCAGCGCATAAATTTGCAAAGAAAATTTCCGCTTTCACTTGGTGACGATAAAGCCTTTATTTCATATTTCTGCTCAAATAAATAAACACACTGGCATCTATTATTAAGCAATTTATCTTGTACGCGGCGTACTTTATTATATTGTTATAATTAGACAAGAGAAAACGCAACGATTTCTTATATATCAAAAAATAAAATTATTATAACTAACTTTATAGCAGGTTACTCGAGCGATTAACATTGATTAATAAATCTTTAAGATTACATCTGGCTAAGTATTTTTTTAAACACGAAACTTTCCTTGCGCGCATTAAAGTTATATCTACATACACAAGCGGAAAGTGTTGGTTTATGTGCCTGCATATTTTGTATTCGGTTACGGTAATTGACTTTCAATTGAAGCTTCTTTGCAATATTCTCCATGTTTAAAAAGCAAAGTTAAATAAAGCGTTGTTGAAGACATCGAGGAAAGGATAAAGAGAGAGAGAGAGAGAGAGAGAGAGAGAGAGAGAGAGAAAGAAATAAGTAAACAAATTTTAAAAAGCATTTAATATCAGTACATATTATGATTCGTAAAGAATATTATTATTTTAATTTGAAGTGAAAAGCCATATAACGCAGGGGCATAGTGAAGAGGTGAATGGCTCGTCGATAAGATCACTAACTTCGCCTACAACATACTTTAAGTGATCATTACTTGAAACAAAGTTTAATAACGCAGCGTCTTTATACTCAATATAGCGGGTGATATATGATACACGCACACGTAAAATGAAAAAAGAGCGAGTAAAAGCGCGACGGTAATAAAGATAAAGATGCAGTTCTAATGATTTCTAACTAGCTGTGTCAAATGTTATCGTCCACGTCTTGATAGAAGCCCCAATGCGAAAGGCAGCTCAGGTCGATAAAAGTCAAAGCTGAGACTTGGGTGTCGCGGCATCAGCCATTTATCGCCATTAACGTCCATCTCACCGATCGGTTGCTCTTGCGACAGGGACCGGGGCATGCGCTTCTTAGTGGGCGATGACTGGATGGACTACTTCGACGTGGTGATCGTGCAGGCGCGCAAGCCTCGCTTCTTCACCGAGGAGTCGCGGCCCCTGCGCATCTACGACGAGAAGAACGAGACGCAACTGTGGGACCGGGTGGTCAAGCTCGAGAAGGGCGTGATATATCTCGAGGGCACGGTGAAGCAGCTGCAAGACGCGACGGGATGGCGAGGCCACCAGGTCCTATATTTCGGCGACCATCCGTACAGCGACCTCGCGGACGTGACGCTCGAGCACGGCTGGAGGACCGGCGCCATCATCAAGGAGCTCGCGGTACGTACTCGCCTCCCTCCGTCGCACTCCTCCTCTTTTAACAAAATGATTGAAATGACTTGCAAGCCCGACGTTTTACGCTCCGAGCATTAACGAATGAGAAATTGCTCGAGCATACCTTATTAATTCGCCATTAAAACCGATGTCGCGTTAAACTAGTTCCACGTCGTTCTTACGTTTCCATATGCCCCGAATGCCTGCATCAGTCTGTACATAATTTCGACTTTCACTTTAACAAACCAGTCGATTTTTGTTCAATCTCGCCGTTTCCCACGATCTAAATGATGTCGTAGATTTCATAAATTCTCCTCCTCGTGGAGCGCAATCTAATTTTATAGCCATATTATATATATATTTGTTTTTTATTTTTGTTTTTGTTTTTGTTTTTGTTTTATATTTAGGTTATTCTATTTTGCACCGTCTCTATCGAAAGTAAAACAATCTCGAAAAGAAACTTACATTTAAAAAGAGAGAAAGAGAGGGAGAAAATAAAGCATGTGCCTTGCACTGTTAAAATGAATGAACTTTCTTTATTGTGAGGAAAATTTAATTGGCACTAAAAGGAGGAAATTCCATTGTAATTAACTTCACTGGGTGCTACCGTTATTTCTTGTATCTTCCGGCGGTTGTATATTTCAAATTAGATTAAATGACAAAAGTATCCATTAACGATAAGTTCGCAGTTTCGGACGGAAAAATGCTTGCCCACGCGTAAAAATCCATTAGCATGAAATTTACATTTTAATGCATTTTCTGAAAATTCTCGTTCGAACATCGAGTCATCCTATCTTAAAGGAAGTAGAATCTGTTAACGGTTAATCTAATAAAGTGTGCTTGTTGACGATTTTTGCCTCAATCTGTGAATAACAATCGTGCGGTTGCTCGCAAAATCTAACGAAACTCTTATGAAACGAGACAAACCTCCTTACGAGCCATTAACACAGAGAGAGTAAGAGAGAGTGAGATAGAGAGAGAGAGAGAGAGAGAGAGAGAGAGAGAGAGAGAGAGTGAGAGAGAGAGAGAGAAAGAGAGAAAGAGAGAAAGAGAAAGAGAGAAAGAGAGAGAG